CTATTAAATCAGATGGAAATGGCAATTCTTATTCACCCTTAAAATACTTCAAAACATGAGCACAGAACAACGGGAACACTTGTTAAGATGATTTTTCCCAATTAAAAATCACCTCTCTCCAGGGATGTAACACAGTGGCAGACTACTTGCCCAGCACATACAAGACCCTGGATTTTATCCCCAGCACCTCCAAAACAAAATTACTTCTCTTATTATATCAAAAATTAAAATTTATAATAGCACAGTTTGACAACTTCCAATGATACATAAATGACTATGTAAGAAATCATCATAAGTAAAAATAATTATTTTTACATAATTAAATGCAGGTAGTTTAGATGGGCAGTTTAAAAAAAAAAATGCTTCAAAAAGAAGGGTTTGTGGGTTTCCAAAAATATTCCCTCTAGCAAAAAGCAGAAGTTGGTGTTGCCAAGGGCTTTTTCACACACAAGTGAAAGGATGGCTTAATTCAATGCCAGTTGAAACTGCCAACCTTACACTTGCAGTGCCCCCTGTACGCAGTCTCCAAATAATAAAGGCACAGCCTGCTACCTTTAGGATTCAACAGAAACTTCCAAACAACTGCTTTTTCTACCAGAAAAAGGTAAGATTCACTTAAGAAGTTTAAAGAACAAAAATCAGTTACTAAGTTCCATTGTTTAATAGGCCAAGTGGGAAGCTAGGTGTAGCAGTGCAGGCCTATAACCCCAGAGACTTGGGAGGCTAAGACAGGAGGATCACAAGTTCGAGGCTAACTTCAGCAATTTAGCAAGACTCAGTCTCAAAATAAAAATAAAATCAGTTGGGGATTAGCTTAGTGGCAGACAGCCCCTGGGTTCAATCCCCAATATGGGGGGAAAAATACACAAGCACAAATAACAAGGAGCTAAAATTTCTGTGTGACCTCACGGTTGTCTGCACTAATTAAACTATATCAGGAATACTAGGTTCCATAATTGCACTGGACATGGTGGTTCAGTGAGAAGTTCTGACAACTAAAGAATAATCTGGCCAGGTGTCATGGTACATGCCTATAATTCCAGCAGCTCAGGAAACTGACAGGAGGATCTTGAGTTCAAAGCCAGCCTCAGCAAAAAGCAAGGTGCTAAGCAACTCAGTGAGACTCTATCTCTAAATAAAATACAGAATAGGGGTGGGGATGTGACTCAGTGGTTGAATGCCCCTGAGTTCAATCCCCAATAGCACCCCCCCACCAAAAAAGAATAATTTGGAAGCACAAAAGGAAAAGACACACTTCAATTTCAAAATACTGCTTAGAGTAGACCTTTCCCCCACTCCCAGAACCCAAAGCATTTTTTCTCTGATGGTTGGTGATCCAATACCCCATCTCCCAAGAGCAAGTATGTTGAGGAGACCAGAATAAGAAGAGAACACGATGACCTCCACAAACCTCACCATTCCCAAGTCTCTCGAATGACCAGTGAGGCCTTGTACTCCAACAATGTAGTAAGAAATATGCTTGCCACTCCCAATCCTAACTGGTATCTATCTCCCAACTAAATTTTAGCTCAGGGATTAATCATACCATTAGTTATTGTTCAAACAACTATTTATACAAATCAGATGGGCAGAATAATCAAGAAATTTAAAGATAAAATATGTAGGTAAATGTTTGAGTCTTTCAAATTACCACATGTCCAATTACACTGTCCAGTCTTTGGGGCACTATTAAGTTTTTAATGACACATATCAATCTAAGCATCTAAAAATATTTCTTAAAAAGGACTAAGCTTAATTTTGCAGAATAGCTCCACCTAGTTTAATAAGCACCAAGGTTATTTGTTTGATTTACAAGATCTAAGTAAAAATATCAAATACATAATGAATCTAAATATGCCTTAAGAGTCCAAGAAACAAACTATGTACTTATATTTATTTATATGAAATATAATTATCTCTTTCAATTAATTCTGAAGTAAATAAGAGAAAAATCCCTTGTACTTACAGAACAGAACCTGGACCAAACCATGATGAAACAGGTTCAATATTCTTCCACTCTTTTTCGCTTATAAAGTTGATGAAGTCCTTCTTAGTCCTTGGACCCTGATAGCGCCTAAATTCACCATCTTTACAACTAAAGATCAGGATTAAATATTAGTAGCAAAAGGAAATAAATTTTGTATGTTTCCACTATTTCCTCACCTTATTTTAATCAATCCTAATATTCAAAAGCATTAGCAATGCAGAAGCAGCATATTAAATTATTACTGATATCACAGCCCAAATACAATCATAAACCTTAAGATTTTGTTATTACTCTTCCAAGTATGAAAGTTATTATGAAGCACAGTAAGCAGAAAAATCTTAGAAAATGATTTTTATTTTAAAGGAATTGCCATATAAAAAGTTACTAAAATAGTGCCTAAAACATAAAAATTATTAGCTATTTTTAAACTGTAAGTTTAAAGTTTTTTTTTTTTTTTTTTTGGTTTCCCCTGGTATTTTCCATCATGGTCATCATTTCTGCCATCCTGTTTTAAATTACAGAGAGCATCTGGGACAGTGCTTTCCTCCGAGGGACTTCAGTGATTCTACTTAAAGGCAATTTTGCACTGGTCCTTCCATCTACATCCTCCTTCCCATTCCCAATGTATGTATGGTATTCTGTCAAATAGTCCTAAATGTTCTCCAGTCTTAATGCATCCTCAAGTGCAAAAACTCAATAGTTCCCCACTACCTACCACAGGGTTAAGAGATTCTTTATCCATCCAGATAAAAAGACCACAAAGAAGCTCCCACTCAAAAACACAAAAGTTTTAATAGAAAGCAAACTGTTCTTTGAAGGATGGGTAAGATTGCAACAGGCAGAAATTAGAGAAAAAGGCAAGGTAAATGCCATGGCTAAGAGAAAAAGGGCAGGAAATTCCAGACCAGTTCAGGGGTATTGAGAAGTAAAAAAGAAATAGGAATACTGATTATAGCCAATTAAGGGGCATGTGAGGAAAAGAAATGAGTGAAAAGGGAGGGACAGAAGTACTTATGGGATACAGAAAAAAAGAAATTTAAATAGATACAAAGGGAGGATGGCTGACTTTAAAAAAAAAAAAAAGTTTAAAAAAAATGGACAAGGAAAAACAAGATACAGACATACACAAGGAACTTCCCATTTGTTTTTCTATTGTTGTTCCTTTTTGCAGAACTGGGGATTGAACCCAGGGGTGCTCTACTACTTACTACATCTCTAACCCTTTTTATTTTTTATATCGAGACAGGGTCTTGCAAAATGCTGATTCGCCTGTCTTAGTCTCCTGAGTCACTGGGATTATAAGCACGCACCACCACACCCAACAGAATTGCCACCTTGTCTTCGAAATTTTAAATGAGAAGTACCTCTTAATATTTAGCCGACCACCTAAACGATATTAAGGTACAGAGTAGGTAGATTTGAGATTTCCCATCTCCAGATTAGAATATCAATAAAATCAAACTAAAAGACCTGATATTGCAGACTATACTGTCTTGTTCCTTCTGACTTAACACTACCCTATCACCCACTACTTTCCCCCCAAGTTTAGCTACTTTTTTAAAATAACGCACTCCTGTTTATGAGAACGTCCATAGAATGAAATGCTTACCCTGCACTCTTGACAATTCTACTTCCAAGATTTCATTTAAACTCCGTGTTCTCCAGGAACTGCTCCAGCAAACAGCAAGTTCTCCCTTTCACCCTATTTCCCAAAGGATTTACTAGCACTCTGGTCTTACAATCATTTCCTGTGCTGAACAGTATCACAAAATTTCACATGAGCGTCATGTTCCAAACAATTCCAAATCTCTGACAACAAGGACTGCTTCATGGATCATTTGTCTGTCTAAAGAAACTTAGGGTATGATAAAAGCAAAATAAGCTAAAATACTTGCTGAATGAGATTACCTCAGCTCTTCAAAAATGATCCAAGAGAGAGGCCTACTATTCTGATTACACTATAATGCATCCTTCTCAATAACTGAGAATCTTCAAATACTTACTGATAAATAGTAGGAAGAGCAGTTATGATAAACCGTCCACTCAGTCCTACAAATGATAAAGAACATACAGCGGGTTTTATATTGGACAATCACTAAGGATAAGGTGACTCTAAATTATTTAAATACTATTACGAATATGGAAATCATGCCTAATATAAATTATGCACTTAAAGCAACTTTAGAAAACACATTACTGCATAATAGCTCAATTTAAAAGTTTGCCAAGCTTGAATATTGAAGACATTTGTGTAAGCAATTGGTCAATTACACTAATGTATGATTAAAACTACTAATGATGAGTCCAGGGAAAATACAATGTCTTAGGTCTCAGATCAAATCACACCTGATACTTGCGAAAAAAGGCAGTTGATATTTTTGATAAAAATGGAAAACTATGACTCTTTCATAAGACAGGCAATAACAATTACAGATAACATTTGCTATTAACCATGTGTCAAGCACTGCCAAGAATTAACCTGTTTTCTTATCTGTACTATGGTATATTACATATCTCAAAAGACTGTGTGATTAAACCAGAAACACAACTCTTGAGAGCTGCAGTAGGTAAATTATCAATAAATTAATAAGTTATCCTATTATTGCCATTTGGGACAGCACAACCAGGAACACAGGTTTATTGTGACCACCAAGAATAAGATTGAGGCTGGTCAAAACAGAAGCATCAAGGATGAGATCCACCTCTTGTGCAGGGGACCAAGACAAGAGTGTATTTGGCTCTACTACCTTAGGACTTTGTAACTAACAGCCCACATTCTCAAATCATATGTATTAAATCTGAAATTCAATTTTAGAGTCAAATCAGAGAATGTGACTTTGACTTTGAAAGAAACATGCCCTTATTTTGAAGCTTGGTAAACTGCAAATGATGGCTTGGCCAATGTCTACTTGGGCCACGGTGTTCTAAGACTTCTCAAAGAAATCTTACATGCTAGTAGAATGGAACACAAAAAAGATAAGAGAAAATTATATGGGCAGGAATAGGGAGAGAAAGATATCTCAAAAGTCCCTTAGAGCAACAAACAAGGAATGAGTTGTACACACAACCAGTCAATCTGCTTTTTGCAGTCACTGCATGCTGAGCCCCCAACAGAAAGATAAGTCAAGTGGGTTTTAACTAGCTGTGGACTAATTTAACTAGATGCAGAACATTGTTTTCAAAATGTAATGAAAGGTTAAGAGCATCTAATGTGGAAAATAGAATAGATTTCAACACAAGTGGCAAAAAAAACAAAACCAACCAGACTTACTGTACCTGTCTGCTCTGTGACATCTACTTTTGCAACATTAACCTCAAGATCTTCTCCCCATTCAGCAAAACTTTCCCATTCTGGTTGAAGATTTTGACAAGCAGGACACCACGGTGCATAACTAAAATATAGTTTAAAAACAAAAACTTAAGTGCTCTCATGATCACTCATGTTTGGATTGAAAAAAATTATGAAAAATACTTTAAACATAAAATTCATGAAGAATATTTTATACTAAAAACTGAAAATAACAAAGTAGTTCATTTTATGCATATGAAAACAGTTCTGTGGGCCTAACAATCTGGATACTAAGAAATATGAATTAAGGATCATAACCTTCCATAATAAAGCAACCCTGAGAATAAATTTTTAAAGACACAAGGGCTTTTTCACATGAATAACAACTCTTCAAAAACCCTTGGATTTTTCTACTACAATATAGCCACCAGAAAGCTAGAGACTTTTTTTTTTTTTAAGTTTACCATTTTAACAATTTTATAGTGCAGAGTCAAATGCAAGGTGTTGGAAAAATAGAAAGTACTTTGGGCTATGGTGAATGAGGAAACACAAGTTCCAACTTAAGGCAGCTACTACTATGCAGCAGGATTGCCACAGAGATAGCTGTTCCAGGAAGAAAGGCTAATCATATTAAAAGGAGCTAGACACCTGTGTTTTTATGTAAAAATATTATTTCAAAACCTAATCCCCAAATACTAAGCAGACTAAGCAAATATTTTTTGACCACCATTTTCCAGGACCCTGGTTTTACAAATTCTATGGCCAACCAGACTAGCATTTTAATGGCATTCATAATCTTCCCAGGTCCTAATTTCTCCCTAGAATTTTGCTTTTCTACTTTATTGTAGATTGCAATTTGCCTCAGCTTATGGAACCAGAACAAATGAAGCCTATACATGTTTAAAAACAAAAATACAGTGTCTGTATTCATGTTTTCTTGATTGTTTTAGGAAAAATTCCCAAAATAAGCACTGTAGAATAAAACAAACTAGTATTTTATATATATCTCAAACTCCTTAACAGTAAGTTATAATGAAAACGTCTGTATAACAACTTCTGATCAGAAATAGAGTAAATGAAAATAATTTACTTGTAATTAAAAGCAGACTATTAAATCCTATTTATTTATTTATTTTGGTACCAAGGACTGAACCTAGGGGCACTCAACCACTGGGCCACAATCCCCAGCCTTTCCTTATTTTGAGACAATGTCTCACTAGGTTGCTGAGGCTAACTTGTGATCTTCTTGCTTCAGCCTCTTGAGGGGCTAGGATGACAGGTGTGTGCCACCTTGTCCAGCAATCCTTTCTTTTTTCCAATGTGTTGCATCCTGTGTTTTTTTAAAGACTTCTTGAACCTTAGGATCTTTAGCCAAGGATAAAGAAGGAAAACACTATCCTATAATTTCTAATAGATGCTCTAATTTGAATTTAGCTCATCATCAATGAATTTGTTCATTATTTTCTCCTTAATACCTCTTCTGATGCTATATTTACAGTTAGACCAAATGAATTAAAAATGTCCTGAAGTAATATTTGACTGTATTTTGCATATAAACTCATAATCACTACTGCTTAACATATTGTTTAACATTAAATATTTTACAGGCCCAAATCTAAAACAAGCTACTGATGGAAAAAACAAATGCTGCCATTGGTTATACTTCCTCTCCTCCACAGCTTCAACAGTGCCTGATAACTCCTTCAACCATGTTGCAGATTATATGCATACTAAATACTTTCCCTATCTTATTTTTGTTCTTATTTTTTATGATTCAAAAGTTACTGACTCTGTCTTCTCCAATGTCCTTTCCGGATGTCCACCCCCACTTGTCTCCTTAACTGGTAACTCTTCATCCATGATCCAGGAAAATATCTAAGCCTTGTTAAAGAAGCAGGTGTTCTAACAATTACTGCATGTTTTTGGAGGTCCAAAGAAAGCCAGTATAGCAATATCTGGACAGGCCAATTAAGGTACTTAGGCATCTGTTTCTCTTCTGTATAATGGGATAATACTAACTATCATTAGGAAATTAAATATGATAATGTATTTAAAGGTGCTTAGTAGTGTCCAGTATACAGACAATATTCAAACAATAATGATGCTTTGGGCCAGAATTAGCTATACCACTGAAATCATATCACCATCATCAAAAAATTTAGCATCTAAAACAAAGACAGTTATTTCCTACAGCAGCAGAAAGGACTTGAAAGTAGAACCACCACACAAGACACATGAATTCGTTCAAACTACCGCAAGCTAGCGCTCTTAAAAGAGTTTATAATAATCCCAGTAATAATTTTATCTTTCAATGCAATATCACTTACAAAGGTCTAGGAGTCACAACTCAAGGATTCACTACATTTCGAATGCACAATGAAAAAAATGACTTGCAGAAAGAGAATGTGTGAAGGAGGGCACGAATATTTTAAAATAACCTTATTTCAACTTAGCATATGAAACAAAAGTCCCAAATTCCAACACACAAATGGATAATTCTTGAGGATAAACATAAAGCCAGAGATTGTGCTCAATATCCTCTTCTGCGAAGCTTAGCGAAAATAAGTCTAAACGCCCATCTGTAAAGGATCATTCTAAAACAATATTATACGGGAACAAGTCTGAGGCCACCTCCACCCCATCCAGTCCGAATCCCAATCTCAAAGCCAGGAAGAAAAGTTAAGAGCACAAGTCCTTTGGCGCACCACAGCACTAGAAACACGGGAAAAAAGAAACACGGGAGCAGAGCGCAGAAGAAACTTAATATTCCCAGGTAGGAAACCAGGAGGAGTGCGACCAAGTCAGCGGCAGCTCCCGGGAGGAGCTGGGGATCCTGAGGAGTTGGGGCGCCACTCGGCGACTAGAAGGCGAAGTCCGGGAAAAGCTGCGGCCTGCCAGAGGAAGAGGGAATGAGGTCGGGTGTGCGGGATCGGAGGGACCCCGGCCGGCGTCGCGGGACAAACGCTCCACACTCACAATTCTATCATCCACTCTCCTTCCAGCAACTCCCTCCAGTTCTCGTCCGTGATGACACGCACGTCACTCCGCCGCCCGTGGATCCACGGAAGCCCCCAAAGCAACAGCACCAACACTGTCAGAGGAATCACGAGACGCCCGGAGGGCGCCATGACCGCCTCTCGCCCACCCCTCGGACAGCTCCGCAGCCCCGCCTCCCCGCAGCAGTTCCCACTTCCGCTCTGGCCTGCAGCTCCGCTCATGCGCAGGGCGGCGCGGCGAAGCGCGCGAGCCCAGGGCATACTCACTGCGCATGACCAGTTCTCCGGGTGGGTGGTGGAGGAGGGAGAGAGGAAAGCGCGCCGGCCGTAGTGCGCATGACAGAAAGGCGGTGCCTTTTCCCTCCACCGTACCTACGCCCCTGTCTCCCGCGGTGTGGCGCGACCAGGCCCCGGAAAATCCCGAAATGGGGCTAGAGGCGCAGTGGGGCAGGGCTTTACGGAACAACGCTGGCGCCAAAACCCTGGCGCCAGATGGTTGTCAATCTGACTGTTAAGTTTGTACTAAGGCAGTTCCCAATTAAATGTACCTCATGGTTTTTATTTCTTTCTTTGAAAATTTTTGTAATAAAGTTAACAGATGTTGATAGGAGTCAAAATATTGATTTACCTTTCTGAGGGATAATACAATGAGAAGGTGCAGAAGGAATATTATGGAGTACTCTTTCTGTTATCTAAAGCATGATCCTTGTCCCCATTACCAGTCCAAAAAGGAGGACAAGGTTTGAGGGGAAAAAAAAGGTTTTTTTTGTTTTGCTGGCGAAACACAGTGAACTCCTGTGCCAGAGGCTGTGATCCCCTCTGCCTGCGGGAGCCCAGGGCTTTAAAGAGCAACATTTAAGGGCTGGGATCCAAATATTATTGTTACCGCTGTTGACCGGTGAGGAGTCCTTGCTTCCCCAATATTGAAGAATAACACCAAAGAAGCACGTGGAGGCAAGGTCAGAGTAGAAATTAGAAGTTTATTAAAGGACAGCAGAAAAGACTTCTCCCGGAGGAAGAAGGGGACCCAAGAGGTGGAATCCGTGGAAGGGCTGTTGTCTCCCCTTTTTATAGTTCTTTCAGTAATGGAATGTAGGTGGGAAGGCCCCAGGGGTGGGAAACAGGTGGGCCAAAGAAGTAGTCTGAGCAGGAAGGACTTCATTAACACTTCTTTGGGATGGACTTTGGCCTAGGGCCTTTTCAGGACTTCATTAACATTCCATGAGTTGTCCTGCGTTTCCTGGAATCATTCTCAGCATGGCCTCCATTTTAGATTTCACTCGGTATTAGACCCGATTTATCTAACTATACTGACTACCTAACTTTAAATCTGGCTTCATTATCAGTAGATATAATTAGTGAACAGCCACTGGGTGTCCTTGAGCTTGAGTTCTTAGGTTTGGAGTTTTCTTTGTTCTTGGGGGCAATGACACTTTTCCAGTGAAGGGCATAATAGCTTAGCCTGGGACTGGAAAATGTTAGTCTTGTTTCCCTTATGTTAGAAGGAGAAGGGAAAGAAGAAAAAAACATGTCAGTTTTAAAAAATAAGCCACCTGAGCCCAGCGTGATAGCGCATGCCTGTAATCCCAGCGGCTGGGGAGGTTGAGACAGGAGAATCAAAAGTTCAAAGCCAGCCTCAGCAAGGCCCTAAGCAATTTAGGGAGAACTTGTCTCAACATAAAAGGGGCCAGGGTTGTGGCTCAGTGGTTAAGCACCCTTGGGTTTCATGGCTAGTACTGTTACCGCTGTTGACCGGTGACGAGTTCTTGCTTCCCCAATGTTGAAGAATAACACCAAAGAAGCACGCCGAGGCAAGGTCAGAGTAGAAATTAGAAGTTTATTAAAGGACAGCAGAAAAGACTT